CTCTCTCTCTCTCTCTCTCACTTTCCCTCTATCTCTCTCTTTCCCTCTATCTCTCTCTTTCCCTCTATCTCTCACTCTCTCTCCTTTTCTTTCTCTCTCACTCTTTCTCTGTCCCTCTCTTGTCATCTCTCTTTCCTCTTTATATTGATGTAGAACATTGTTATGTACTCTGACAAAATGTGCCCCAGACTTGATTTTGTAGATAAAATTATGAAGCCATGCAGTGCTAGGGTTGTGATTAGGGCTTAGGTTTAGGGTTATGGTGAGGGGGAGGGTATGGTAAACACTGATGTAATATTTCAGGTTTGCAGAGATGCCAAGTTCAAAGATCAGCTATGCTTGACATTTTCATGACTCAGGGCGCAAGTGCGCGGGCGAGGGTTTAGCGTATAGCAAAAAGCGTATAGTCTACGTTTCAAAATTGCGCGCGCCCATGAAGCAACGTGATAGCCGGCCTGCATGCATGCTACGTGCATGCACTATACGTACACAAACCCTGCGAGGAGCTAGCTGAGGCCTCGAGTTGGTCGGCAAGTACGTAGTCTAGCAATTACTACCTTTTTTTCTTTTTCTTTTTCTTCCCAGTCTGGCCCTGATGCATGACAAAAGTGGTTGCCATGCATGACAGCGTTTTCAGACCTTTGATGCGTGACTGTCACGCATAATGGGTGACACTTGATAGCTCTGGGTTTGAAGTTGCAAATGTGGTACTGTTTTACATTGACTGTGAAGATATAATTGCCATGCAACAGATACAAGTAGAGTATAATAAACAGCTAGTTACACATTATAATCTACCCAAGATAGATTTGAAAGAATGTATTACATGTTGAGCATCTAATGGGTTTTTGTATGTTACGACCCCCCCCCCCCCCCCCCCCATTATTAGGTACATGTAAACATCCCCAAAGATGTTCAGAGATGAGAAATAAACCAGATATTAGAGTGTTGAGATAAAGCCTGATCTACTAAAGATGTGAATGTATTTGATCATTTCCTGCAGTGAGCAGGTTTGAACTGTTGCTCATTTTCATCAAAAGAAGATTAATTAGATAGATCTCATCAAATGATTTAATGCACCCATTATTTCTTCTAAATTCAAGGTTTCATTCAATACATTTAATCCTGAGAGATTTACACTGTACATAACATGTACATGTGGTAAACTTTTTCAGTGAATTTTCAAATCACAATGATAGTTTCACAGCACTTGACATCAAAAGGAAACTTTCTTGTCAACATCAAAAGTGCATTTGGATGCCCTGTGCCCAATTCTAGTGTAATTCACCTTATCACCTACAGATACACACAATTTGTATGTTAACCCATAGCATTCAAGTGTTTCCTATTTTTTTTTAAAATCTTTTGATTGAGAATGCTTTGCAAATGAGTAGAAAGTGCTAAAAATTTGCTGGAAAAAAACAACTTGTTTTCCATTTCTGTTGTAATTCACTTTACCATCCATGAACAATAGTAATTTAATCAAAAGTCATCATTGAAGTCTCTAAATGGGCACTGCTGCAAGTGAAAGTTATTATCACTCTTTTTGTGTACAAATTGACAATTTCTTGTTGATTTTTTTGTAATTTACATTCACACATGTAAATTTATTTAATATACATTTTTTTTTTAAATCATTGTGTGAAAGAGGGGCAATATAAATAGATTGATGTCACTTTGTGGAGGAAAAGCCAATTCATTTATAAAACCCTGAACTGCTGTGAGTTAACTACAGGTACATACAGTACATCTAGTGCATATATGTACATACATGTACTTTACATTCTTAAAGCTACTTTACAATTAACATACATTCAGAGAAGGGGTGTGGCAAATTACTTAGCTCTTGGTTAATAGTTAATGAAAGTGTCTTGAAATCTGCGTCCTCATACTCACAGGCTGTGTGTGGATGTGTGCATATAATGTAGGCCAACTACAAAACGATGAATTTTTCATTATGAAAAGAGCTACCGGTAGTCACTCAATTGATGCTTTTCCCAATTACTAAAAATGTTTTTTTTATAATTTGAATCATGCTGAAGGGCTGAGCTAAAGGAAAGGGGTCCTTTTTAGGGAGATTTGAAAAATATTTCTCTATGTAAAGGCAATGTAATTGTATATTTCTCAGGAATAAAGTGAATATTATGATACTGATTCAACATGTACATGTACATTGTACATGATGAGTGCAATAGAAAGAGGAGTGAAAAGGGAGTGTAGAGATGAGAGAGAAACAGAGAAAGAAAGACAGTCACACAGACAGACAGACAGACTGATATAAATCCAGAATATAGTTCGCATTCTGGAAGGGGAAGAGAAAAAAAGAGGGAGAGGGAAGAAAAAACATAAAACGGAGAGAGTAAACGGAAGTGGACAGCTAAAGCTGGGATGGGAAGTTATAAAAATTATTCAAGGCTATATCTATTAATTTTAACAGAGCTGACCAAAGAAAAGGTCAAACAGACCAAGATTTTGAGATGTCATTTGAGTCATTTGAGTTCCTTGGCTGTTCTTGGAAGAAGAAAAAAAGGAGTTCGGTGTTGAAACTTAAAGAAGGATTGAGAAGAGAAGAGAAGCGCAGATATAATATCTCAAAATTTGATAGGAAATATGAAAAGAATGTAGGGAAAGTAACATCTAGTACAGTACATGTATCTCATGATTTTTATTCCTTGTTGACAGTGATATCGTGATTGCAAAAATGTTGTTGGGAGAGAGAGAGACACTAAGAAAAAGAAGGAAGGAATGAAAGTTAGAGAAAATGAAAGGTACAGGAAGAGAAAGGGGAAAGAGAATGAAAAAGAGAGAAAGAAGGAAAGACAGCAGTAGGAAACGAGAGGGTAGAAGGAGAGGTGTTGTGGTCTAGTGGATAAGACACCCAACTGCAGATCACAAGGTACTGGGTTCAAGTCCTGCCGCGTCACTAATGTCCTTTGGCAAGACGTTAATCTACATTTGCCACTCTCCACCCAGGTGTAGATGGGTATCTGATATGCTTGAGCGCTGGTTATTTTGGCAACTCGGCTACAACCAGGGTAGTATGTGTAAAGCGCCATGAGCGTCAGAGCCTGGCAGATACTGGCACTATATTCTAATGTCAATTATTCAGTCTTTTTTTTGCATGCCGTCAACATGGCAATAAACGAGCTGATATTTTCCAAGCTACTAACGTCTACAAGACTAATCCCCCTCCAATCGGGGAGTGTCTGGGTGATGAAGACACAGTGTCTCGACATAAGTAATCAGTATTATCATGAGCACTCAGCTAGTACTTGCCGATGTACAGTCTACATATTTCCCATTGAGCATCTAGTGATGATACGTGTTGGCTGCGGAATATCATTTAGGATTGGAAAGCAGCTAGTGGTCCAAAATTTGCTTCAGTGACGATTGCTTTCTCTCCATTTTGTCAAAGATATGCATGTACATTTCCAACTAGGGTTAGAGTTGTGATTGAGTTTAACGTTCTAGTTTAAAGGGGAAGTTCACCCTGATAATTATCTGGTATCAATAAAAGCATAAAAATGAGAGAAACCAATTAAAGAATGTTTGAGCAAATCAGATTAAAAATAAGCAAGTTATGGAATTTTGAATGAGCAATCAATCAAACACAAATTGGCAACTCTGTGATGTATGTATCTTGCAAGATCCCCTCAATAGAAGGAAAAAAAGATTTTTATTTTTGAGCTGAAGAAAATTTCCAATCATAGGATAGACATTATTGTTACAAAATTACTTGACAGGCAAATTGTTGGTGAACCTATTATAAAATCTGGAAATAATGTTAAGTCTTTTATTTTCATATAATGTGTTCATTATACAGGATGCCTCAAATACATTAAGTAAAATACTACATGAAATGTGTTTCATTTTCCAAAGCCAAATTTATTAAAGACTCCACAACTCTGTGTAAAAGGATTGAGGTATTTTGACACTTATTTTTCTTAAAACTTTACAAAAATTGTAAACTAAAAATGTATGCACAAATTTGTTACAGGTTCTAAACTTCTTTTGAAGATACATAAATTTGACAACACAACATGTACATGCACACCCAGGGTGCTCATGGTAGGTCATTTATAGGGCACTGGTAATTTTCGGGGGCATGCAAGTTCATAAATGCTTGCATTATAGATAACCCTTTGGAGCAATTATGAATAATGGCCTACTAGCTCTGCTTCATTTGACAGTACCATGCCCCCGGATACATGCCTAAATCTGCATCTTTTTTAGGGGTCGGAATGCATTTGCAAGTTAATGCTACAAATGCCACAAAGAATTAAGCATTGTTCACATATTATGAGCTTGATGACTTTAAGTGTATCAACACAGAGCTAAGAGAATATGTGTAGGACCTTTGTTGTGTGCGGTTGCCATTCATAAATTTACACGTTAGAAAAAGCAGCGGTTATTTTGGGGCAGTTTACGTCATATCTGAATGAGCCTTTAGGATATACAGGAACAGTTTAGAGAATGTACTTGTATTTGCGTTGTATACAATATATACAAATTCATGCTATATGTACATTAACATTTGACAACGTACTGTATGATGATGCTCCAGGGGCATTAGCTTTGATCATGGTCCGTATCCTACTATGACTAACTCTGACCAACTTCAACCTTAGACAAAACGCTATACAACTACCGGCCTAGCCCTAACCCTATTCCTACATGTCCATATTTGACAAAATACAGCCCTGAGAAAGTGTTAAAGCACTCTAATGTGAGGCCATATGGCACAGCTCGCTGGCCAAAATTTTAAGAAATTTAACAAAGTTTTAGAAACCGAGTTACTGTTCCACCGGATTTCTTATGTGAACATGTCTACATGTAGGTTAGATATGTAACATGTCCAGAGTTGAACTTACTCTCTTGGAATTCAATTCAACTGTCGTTGGAGATAATGTTGTACAACAGAGTTTTGTTTCTGTTATTGCACTGCATCCTTAAAACAGTTTCTTCTTCTGGTTGTTGATCCTCTTTTTGATCCTTTGTAGAAGTCAAGACACCAGGAGGAATGGCCTTTGAATGTATCCTGGATGAGAACAAGAAACCTGATACATCAAAGCGCCCTGCAACCCCACCAAAGAGCAAGAGCACCACATCATTAGATGAGATCAACGCCAAGCTTCAGGAAGCAGAGAGGAGGAGAAGGGTAAAAATGATGATGATATTGATTTTCAAGATGAATAAGAGAAAGTCTAAGAAAATAAAGATGAAAAAAATAGGTATACTTTGCAATTTGACGATATTATTTTGTTTTTATTTTTTTGAGGGGGGGGGGGGAGAAGGGAACAAGAAAAATATCACAAGTTTGACCAAATTAGCAGGATGCCATTTAACTTCTGATTCACTACATGAAAAGCCAAATATATAACTGATGACGAACATTAGATCTAGAAAGATGAAATTGAAGCCTGGGAGTGAGCTAGAAACACTGTCTTTATTATGCTAATCAAATGTACATAATAAGCAAGTGCATGAGCAGCCGGCTGGCAAAATGAAGTGCAGGCAGTGCTGTGTTGGTTGATGTAGCTGTCTGCTGTATACTTAGCTTCATACATGTACAACTGGGTGTGACTGCATGTACGTGCAGGCAAGATTTCTGCATCTATCAGGAGACACTGTTACAAAGCTTGGGGCCATATCCGACAAAAGCGTTTCTGTGGGTACATTAAAGATGATTGGGATTTGGTAATGTGTTTGATCGATCGTGTCAGCAGAAGATATGAATTGAATATATCACAGAATTTCTTAGATATATGATTATTTAACTTTTGGAACTGAATGTTGAAATCAATCTGCATTTACAAGAAGACTCTGTTAAAAAGGGCCATTTTGACAAAAGTATTCTGTGGTACATTAAAAGTTGAGTGGGATTATGTAGCGTGTTTGATTGTGTCAGCAGAAGATATGAATTGAAAATGTCATAACAAAAATTAGAGGTATTATTTAACTATGTTTTCTTTGAATCTTTCTCTTTCATTTTCGTGATCCATTTCTCTCTCGGTTATATTTGTTTCAATTTTGTTTGTATCCCTAAGATCCTGACTATTCGCATGAACACAGAGTTCAGTAAATATCTGCCTGCTTTTCTGAATAAATATAGTGATTTCACAAAAAGGGCTACAGCTCTGAAGAAATTTCTTTCATTACTAATTCATATCCTCTTTTCTCCCTCTCTATCTCTCTCTCTCTCTCTCCCCTTCCGTCTGCCCTCCATCAGTCCGTGGAGACCCAGATGCTGGAGAAGCTTGCGGAGGAGAACGCCCGCATCCTTGAGGCCCAGGCCAAGGTGGCAGAGAAGAACAACAACTTCAAGATGGAGGCAAAGAAGCAATATGTGGAGAAGATGACCAAGGTTGAGATCAATCAGCAAGCCCAGCAAGAAGCCTTCAACCTCAAGCTCCAGGAGAAGGTATAATATTGTCTCTTTCTATCCTTGTTTCTTGTTTGGCATGCATATTTATTGTAATAGTTTTTTATCCTACAGCACATCCTTCGTGTTGTGTCTCAGCAAGGAGGTATTCACATTATAAAACATCTCTATTTCAGCTAGATTTGTTAAAGGTTGCTTCACCCCCCCCCCCCACCATTCCTGAGCTATTCAATTTTTTTAAAGCCTAAACAAACAGTGTAGCTTTTGTTGAAATGCACATGAAATATACACACAAATTTTTAATGAGATGTTACGAGTGGTCCATGGAAAAGGAAAGTCATCCCTCGCTCTCAATCCAAATTTACAGCATGTCATTGCCTTCTGAATTGGTATGACTCATGAGTTCCTCATGCCCTGTGGATTACAGTGACCTTAAGTGACCATCTCCAGTCTAAATCAATGAGCTGTGAACAGTACGTGTTTGAATCGGCAACACAACCAGTCAATTATCTTAATGCTAATTTCAGCCAGGGGGTTGTAAATAACTTGGATTATACCCACATAAAGAAGATATTGACTGCATACATTTACTTATCTTGCTGACTGTTTTACGATGTATGGAAAAAAGGGGAATACGTTTTATTGAAGTGTTGAGAAATTAATATACAGACATGACATTTAGAGTCTTTTCCTTTTTATGTATGAACCACTTTCATAGACATTCTTGTGCTTATGAAATAATGGGTTCAATTTGAATTATTCATAATTACATGCACCAAGATATAGGAACTTTTCTTTTTTGTTATTTTTCTTTACAGCTTTGTTATTTTTTTTTCTTTCATTTTTTGCAAAGAATGTTTTATTTAAAAGTACATGTAGGACCTTTTTTGCATGCAGTTCCCTATTGTTTACATGTTTTTTTAAATGCAGTGGCATTGTTGCAAAGATTTGTCGCATCATACCTGAACACGCCTTAATTCTGTCAAGGTGATCCTCACTCAATACCAGTTTAGATGACTCTCTCTCTCTCTCTGTGCCTCTCTCATGAAAAAGTAAACATATACATGTATGCATAGATGTTTCAAGTAAGAGAAAGTAAGAATTTGGGGAATTCAAATTATGAGTTCTACATGTTTGTCATATTTGCACTGAGAGCATGTATTTGCTCGGAACTTATATTTTCGCTTAAATGTCTTTTTTGAAGGATCCCCCATACAAAACAAAAAATATACAAACAAATACAACATAAGATATACTTATTCTTACTGAGCATAGTAGAGCCATTATAAACTTATGATTCAGTGTGCTAAACATACCTAATGTTTAGTGAAACCTCTTGCCTCTCTGCTTGAACAGGAGTACTAAGACATTAATGTGTACATAATGGTGCATCCTTGAACTGTCTGCAACACCCATTTTATTATAATTTCATAAATATAGAGTTGAGTTCTGGTCAGGAGATTGCATTGTGAGCCTAGTACAATCAGTGCACTGTGTTTGCTTAGGAGACATATGTAAATACTATTCGTCTTGGCATATTTCAGAAGAAACAGAATAAAAAGAGATAGAAGGATATGTGATGTGACCGTATCTTCATAACAAGACTGCAAGCAAAATGTTTAATTATGCATATATATATATATCCTTAATTGTTCTTAATGGGCTTAAACAAACTAATCACTATAGTCTTGATTACGTAACACCCTTCTTGGTTTCTCCCCGATTCCAGAAAAATCACATCAAGGTGGTGCAGGAGCGCAACATGCGCAAGAAGGAGATTGGTGATGGAGGTGACGCTGAGGAGAAGCAGTAGGTCTAGCGCCCTCTAGCTAGATCGACCCAGCCAGCCAGCCAGTCAGAGAGAGTTCAGATTACAACCATTCAGAAGCAAAAAGAGATTGGAAAAAATGCTGTAATTTAGTGTAAATGCTGATTATATATGCGATGTGAAAAGGGTTGTCATTATTTTCTTGGTCAGAATTTTGAAAGAGTTGTTCCTGCCTTATTCATTTTATCTTAGATTTACCCTTCAAGTTTGGGGCTGTTATTGAAGATTTTGTTTTTGTTGAAAAAGGAGTTTCTGTTCATTGGTATTTTTTTTTCTTGCAAATATTTGCGTTGTATATTGTTATATCCTGATGACTGTATTGTTTTTTGTTCATTGCACTTAGTATAGAATTGGTGGTGAAACATTGCATCTAGCCTAAAGTATGTTATAGATATAAGACAGAACTAAGAATGTTGTTATTTTGACATGTTGAATCCATTGACATCTTTCAGGAATTGAAGTGGCTGATACCAGAAACTCTTTTCTGTGGTGTTTGGTGGTATTATTAATGTCACAACGTAGAGACCTGTTACTGAAGATATTGACACTTAGCACCAGCAATGCTAAACAGTTGACACCAAGCACCAGCAGTGCCAGACAATTAACACTTAGCACCAGCAGTACTAAACAATTGACACTTTAATAGCACCAGCAGTGCGAAATTGTTGACATGTCTATAAATATCACCTTCAGTGGTAAACGTTGACATTTAGCACCAGCACTGCTAAACGGTTGACATGTCTAATACATATGTAGCACCTTCAGTGCTAAACAGTTGACACCTAGCACCAGCACTGCTTTAACCACTTGATACTTAGCCCCAGAAGAGCTAAACAGTAGAAACCTAGCAGTGTTAAAGACAATTGAATCAGATTAAAACACAGATATATTGCAATGGCCTTGTGGCCAGGTCATTGTTCTTTTTCACAGATGAGAACCAATTGTAAACCTCTATAAAATTCTGCTATTCCGTAAACAAAAAAGGCCAGCTTAAAATCAAATACAAATGTTAATTAATCTAATCCTAATATAAATGTCAAGGATAGTATGGGATAATTTTGCTTTACATACAGTTCATTAGTGTTACATCAAATTTCTGTCTCTTTTGAAATAATTCCACCTCTTTTGGATATGTCATCATACTCAGAAAGTGTTGAAAGAAAGTCAACCGCAGTGATGTCTGCTGATTCAAGTTTCAATTGTCAACTCTATCTACAGCGCATTATATATTACAAAGTAATGATTCTGTGCTCATTCAGTCACAGCAGAATTATACTTAATACGACACCAACCATACTCGTTTTCATCTGTAGCATATTTGCCTTTCTCTAGAATTTATTTCAATATCATAGTTGTCAAGTTTAGCCGATCCGCGTAGAGTAGAGCACTTCTTGCACATTGCACCATTGTTTGTCAAACATGGAGATAAAAATCCTTACTGCCATTTTCCTGTTTGCACCATGTGGATCATTCATATAGATGTAGATTTTATTCTCTAGATGTCGTTCAGTGCTGTAGGCTAGCTTTGCATCTTGCACAATATGTACATTGTCAAATTGTAGCACAGTGTCAACATTATTCACAAAATAATGAAAAACACAGATAAATGATAGTATAAAGTATTCAATACATAGAATTATTGCTGCACTTCTATTGCTTTCACTGTCAAAGGTAGTCTGTCGGTTGAGAGTTCCATAAATGTTCTCCATAGCCACATTGTTTTACAGCTTTAGAATTGGCTAGTTCATGCCTGTTATCTTCACGTATCTAGTGTTTTCGAGTAGACTAAAGTCTGTATTCTTTTGATGTATTCAGTACTAGCAAATACAATGAACACAACTCCTGTTTATAGAAGCCTCAGTATGGTAAGGTATTTAAACACAAAGTGTCATATATCTAATGCAATGTTTTGATATTTTTGTTTTGTTTTTATACTAATGAGTTAATTCCTTTGGCTTCCATTTTGTTTGAAAAACAACTGAACACCCTGTAAATAATAGTGGTTATCAGTAGACTTTAGGGAGAGTTGCGTTTACATTTTGTAAATTATATATAATTTTCAGTACTTTTGAATGCGTTTCCAAAAGTTATTTTGAGTGACAATCCATGTCCAGGAGTGCTTTATGGTTATCTACCAATTTTTTCTATGGTATCTGTATTGTTGTTTTGTTTGTGAAAAGTTGTGTCTGTTCAAACTTCCTTAGAGTTGTGTTACAACTTGATTGCTTGTAACACATTTGCTGCAGATTTCATTGAAATCAGAAACATCAGAATTATAACATATTTTACAAGGTCTGGACCATAAAAATTCCATTAATTTTGTGATATATTGAGTTAGTTGTTTGTACCATGCTATCAATGAGGATATAGAATTTCTCTCAACTGATCCAATTGGAAATGTGTTCCATAGAAATGAGAAGTGAAAAACATGTCTGAGAATATTTCTTATAATAAGCTTAACAGCAAAAAAGTAAAGAGCAGATATGAAGGATAAAAATTGAATATTAAGAGCTGATAGCTGCCAAAGTATTAAATCCTATTTAGCCATAAATTGTTATATCAGGTAATTAAGAGGGGGAAACTGAGAGATAACACATATGAACACCTACTTTATTGATGGTCTTATAAACTTTTGTTATCTCACAATATTCATTATTAGTCTCAAGTAGTGTCAATATCGTAATTGAAATGGTGAAAAATAATCAACAATTGTGAACCCATTCTGCTTGTGAAATCTAAAATATTAATTCTTACAAGATTACATTACATCAAAACTTAAACTAAAAAGTAAAGAAATCTAGATCAAAACAGCATAACTTCAAACGTTTGCAGTGTTGATGTGATTGATACATAAGTTAAAGAGAGTATCTATATAGAGCGTGCATACACATAAGTGTTTTTGAAAAGTTTGTGTGCTAATTATAAAGAACATTGATATAATAAATGTGAAATGTACCTTTTTTTCCTTTTTTTTCTGTGGAGCTTTTAATCTACACCAAGCCAGTACAGCATCAAATTGTATTTTCTTCTGTTTGAAACACATGCTTGATCACATAATGACCTAAAATGCCACTGTTCACTAACTATTGTTTCATTTTCGCAGGCTTCAAGGGCATGTTACTTGAAACATTCATGCAAGACATTTTGTGTTCTTCATGTATAAGGCTATATGCATGCTCCTTAAAATAGTCTTGAGAGTTGTCCACTAAACTAACCAATATCTTAATCATTCATTCGTTTGTGTGGTTTTCGACTTCTTTCAAGATCAGCCAAACATTCATTGTACATGGAACAAGGTTGAAAAATTAATCATACCGTTTTAGAAAATTTGTAATTTGGGAAAGAGGGTTTTAGGGTAGACTGATATTTATAGGTGCATCCTTGCAGCCTTTGTAATTCTCTCAAAATGTTATGTTCAATTTTTTTTCTTCAAATTTGGATCACTGAATAATTCCAGATGATAAAAGTAAAAGGATTTCTTCAGCTTTATAACAAATTAAATGAGCATGCAGTGGTACAAGGATTACTTGATTGCCTATTTTGCTATCATATATTCACCTCGATCTTCATTGGTGATTATATGCAAGGCGGTCAAGTCGATAATGCCATTAGTCTATGCAATTTAAGATTTAATGCCCGTTTATTCAGTCATTAACTTTCAATTTATGGACTGTCTCCAGTGAGAAAACAAATTTAATATATTAGGCAGACGGCGTCCCCAGACTATGGTTAAGATGGATGCATTTCAGAACGAACAACTCGTTAATAAGTGGTTTTTAGATACAAGAACAATTTTTTTGTTGCTAAATCTGTTAAATACACTGGCGGCATAGGAGTAACAAAGAGAGGAGAGGATGATCAGATTTTTTGCGGCTTTGGGGGTTAGCCACCGGTATGACCCAATTATTGATTTTTAATCTGCGAAGGAAAGTCTTTTCATCTGGAAAAGATTTTACAGAACTGATCACCATAAACAACAAAATATATTTCAAAGGATGACATTTTACACATTACCATGCATCACTAACTTGTGCTTTACATGACCAAAAGCTAGGCAAAATGTTTTGTTGTTGAAATTCCCTTGTCTCATAATCAGTACTTCATGTTATTTTGTCCTAAACCATTCAATTTTTTGTTTATGACCAAGTACTAGATATTGTTTTTAAAATGTTGATAATGTAAGTATCCCCAAGTTTTCAATATTATTGTATTGGTATTCCATTGTCATCTACGTATACGACTATTAAATGCAGCTTACTATTATATATGGCCAAAGACGATTAAATTAATTGAAGCTACTGGAATCTAGTAATAACATGTTGTGAAGAACTTCTAGGAAACTCTGTAGGGAAACTTGCAACATTTTATTTGTACTGAGTTTTGAAAAAACAATCATTCCTTCCATGCCTTTTTATTATAATTATTTTGCCCACCATTTACGCAAATGCTGGAATTGTTTATTTGTTTGAGTTTATCTTAGATATTATGTTGTATGCACATTGTCTTGTGTAACTTGTGTATTGCGCGTTATTGTAATTGGTCAAAAGTGATAAATAAAGGCGAAAGCTTGTGTGAAATAATTTGCGCTGAAATGATTTTTATTGTGACTTGGAATATATGTGTATGAATAAGAGAAGGAGAGGGGAAGAAAAAGGAACGAGAGAGGGTGAGAGAAATACAGAGAGAGAGAGACCGAGACTGAGAGAACAAGAGAGAAAAGCAACTATAGAGAGAGAGAGAACAAAGAGTGGTGATGTAACGTGAGTTATCATGGGAAGGTTTGGGGGGGGGGGGGGTTACAAGCCTTTCTTGGAAAATCACTGTTGCGAATTTACAAGGCCAATGATTTTTTTCATCATTCTCCCTCGTACGATTTCGTAAAGGACGAGAAGGGGCACGCATTAAATGTTTTCATTGTTTTAGATTGAAGCCCGCCTAACGAAGAAGGCAAATTCCCTTGCGCTATGTCGCCATCTCCGGTGAAAGATTTCTTTTATAATTTAGATAGAAAGCGCATATTACCAATATTAGATAAGTGACAACAAAAAAGAAGAATAATACGCATTTTTCACACAATTCCTCTGTATGGCCATCCATTATGGTTCAAGGCATGCCCACATAGGAGTTGTTTTTTTTTATGTTGGGGGACGGGACAAAATGCAATGAATTATTGAAAAATTATTGCATTTTCTTTGTTTTTTGGTTTTTTTTTGTGTGGGGGCGTGGGGGGTAAGTGGACACTTTTTTTTTTTGGGGGGGGGGGTCAAAAAAAAATCGCACCGACTAAGCCAGCTGAAAAGTCGCTCAGTGGGGGGGGGGGAAGAGGACACTTATTTTTTTTTTTTGGTCTCGAAATTTGAAAATTTGACATTTTGTTCCATGGGGGGGGGGGGGGGTAAGGTCACCTTTTTTAGGTCAGCCATAGGCATAATATTTTTTTTTTTTTATTACAAAAAAAATCAAAAGGGGGGGGTTTCACAAAAATATACACAAAACATACACATAACATTAACAAAAACTTGAAATAACACTGCTCCAGAGAAATGTATTTCCATGCAGTTTGAGACGCGCTAGATAATAACACAAAACGGAAATGTGCAAGTATTTGAACGTATGTGGGTTCATGCATGGTATTTTACGGGGTCGTAGCCATCTCTCAATGTGTCATATTGTCATTTGCTAATGAATCCTGATTGTCCAAGGGAGTAGTTGTCCTTGAGGTAATTGTTTTCGGTTGGTAGTTGTCCTCGGGGGGGATTTGTCCTCGGAGGGTAATTGCCCTTGGGGGGTACTTCCCCGGGGTAATTTTCCGGGGGGGGGGGGTAATTTTCTGGGGGTGAATTTCCAGGGGGGTAGTTTTCGGGGGGGGGGGGTAATTTTCCGGGAATATTTGCCCAGATGGTAATTGTCCTAGAATCATAACCAGCCGTTTAAACGGTTTATTGAGGATGGAATGGCGTTTGTAGAGGACTTCATCTCCGGGTTCATCTTCATTAACCTTCAACCTCATCCATTCTTCTTTGGCCTGCAGACAGCTTTTTTAATTTCTTCCCTTTGTGAAAAGGAGTCGGAGGTCAGAGAATTTCAAGTTCTGTGTTCCGTCCTCCGCCACCCGCGCCAAAGAATCACGGATCCGCCACTCGCGGGAAAACTTTCTGATCTAAACATGCATTATAGTGAATAACAAAACAAAAATAAAACAAAACAAAAAGGAAAGAAAGAAAGAAAGAAAGAAAAAGACCGTTCCCATCCAAGACTTGTGAATGTATCCACATCAGACGTTATGCTTCAAATTGCGCTCGCACACTTTATGATGATTAATGAGATGCTGGAAGCAGAGAGAGTAATTTGGATAATTATGTTTTATGCATGGTAATTGCATTCCACCTTAAAGTTAATCACTCATAACGGGGGTGCAATTATTCATTAGGCCGATGCTCTGAAAATGTAGTGGAAAATAATTATCCACTCTTGTTACATCAAGAACAGGAGCGTCGAAAGTGGAGGGGGTTGGTGGGGGCAAATGCATTTCGCCCCCAAAGCCCCCCCCCCCCACCCCCGAATTTTTTATTTTTTTAAAATAATAAAACCTGAATTGAATCACATAAAAATTATATTCCATTCAAAGAGAATGAGAGTAAAAAGAATGACTTTTCTTTTGGCAGGAATACTCCTGCCAAAACGGTATTTGCTATTTTCCCTCTCTCTCTCTCTCTCCCTCTCTTCACGTCTCATGTGATTTGCGTATACATGTACAAATATTATCATTAGGGATCGGTGTCTGCTCATCAGTTTTGGTGCGTGTTTCACTGGAGTATAATTTTACATAGTTACATCGTCTATATTTTATCATGCCACCACCGCTTTCCTTTTCATGCATGGGCGGAAATCGCTCCGAAAAAGTGAAGGGATACATTGAGATAACCACCACCACCACCACCACCACCACCACCACCACCCCATCACCAACACCACCATCAACAACAACGAAAAAAAAAACAACGATAATAGTAGTAATAATATTAACAATATCATAATCATCAACATAAACAAAAGCAAAATCAAAATTATTTGCATTTGCCACTGAAATCTTTGATTAATAAATTAACAAAAATCGTGGGGATAATTCGATAGGTGTTTTCCTCAATTCCTTTCCATCTTTCCAAATAGTGGAGGGCGGGACGCATGCTCCGTCTCCCTCGGGATTTCCAGCCATGTTTCCATGGTAACCGCTGAAGGTGTACATCCTCCCGCGTTCATGTTCTCCGGGTGATATATAGCTGACAACCGATTTACCTGCGGCTACAATTTTGCAACGATGTATTGGCTGCAATGCGAATTACGACCTCTCTCTCTGATCGTCCCCTATTTTGATCATCCTGAAAAACGCTTGTTTCGTTATTGTCAGATTGATTGAGAATAACGCAACAGCTCAGTCAGTTCTTTTTTTGTGATAGTATGTTTGAAAAAGGAGCGTCTGAATCTTGTTTTGTGCTTGGGCCAAAGCAGACTTATTTTGAGAGTGAAAAATATAGACAACAACAGTCAGTTCTCTCCTCGTAAGATTTGCTGCTTGCACGAAGGAGTGTTAGAATCTTGTTTCTTCGTGGTGTCCCAACAAACTTTGGGAACTAAACATATAAAATACGACTTTCTACAGCAGTGAGCTTATTCCTGACGAAATTTGTGGTTTGCAGATGTGTTATAAAATGAGGGGAACACTAAGAAATAGTTGCAATATTTGAATAGATCAGAGGCAAACTTTTCGTCAAAGTGATTTTAAAAAGTGGTAAGATGATGATGGCAATTTTGTTTAGAATGGTGAGTAAAAACTTACTTGAATCATTTTTATAACTAATTACAAATACTTGATGATATTTTTGTTGTGTTTTATATTGAAACTTTTGGGAAACTTCAACTGAAAATATAGAAATGAGCTTTAGATGCTTATAGCTCAAGGAAAGGTCAAGAGTGACGGAATGCATCATTTTTCCCTTTTATGTGCCCCTTTATTTTGACAAGTGGCCCTTTTTCTTTATAAGAAGTCCCCATTCCCCTTGTAATAACTGCTCCTTTTTAACTCGGATAAGGATAATCGCTCCTTTTATTTTCACATGTGCCCCTTTTCCTTTCTAATAAGTGCCCCCTTTCCCCTATGAAAAGTGTCCCTTTTCATTCTAATAAGTGCGTCTTTTAATATCTGGTAAATGATCCTTTTCAGGTACGAGAAGTTACTCCTTTTCACTTCAGATGTGCCTCCTTCACATCCGAAGTTGCCCCTTTTCAAATCTGAGAGATGCTCATTTGACAAGTTCCCCTTCTCGTCCTGATAACTGCTCTTTTCATCTCTGATGAGCGCCCCTTTTCATATCTAATAACTGCCCCTTTTATTTTGACACGTTCCCCCTTTTTCTTTCTTATAAGTGCCCCTTCCACTCCTCATTAATACCTCTTTTCATCTCTGATAAGTGCTTATTTTACCTTCAACATGTGCCTCTTTTTAATAAGAGCCACTTCCCCCTTCTCTTAGAAGCCCCCTTTCACCTCCGATAAATGCCCATATCAACATCTGATTAGTGCCCCTTTTCTTTCAACAAATGCAAATTTTCATTTATTCTCAGTGCTCCTTTTTCATTATCATAAGTGCTTCTTCTCATATATGGTCAGTGCCTCTTTTCAGGTGCGATAAGTACCCCTTTCACCTCTGATATATGCCCCTATCAAAATCTAATGGGTGCACCTTTTCCGTCGACAAATGCCTTTTTTTCATCCCAGGTGAGTGCCTCTTTTCAGGTGTAAGAAGTGCCCCATTTTCACCACTGATAATTACCCTTTGTACGTTGACATTTGCTGCTTTTCTTTTCTAATAAGCGTCTTATCAATTCCAATAAGTGTCCCCTTTTCCTCTCATCATTAAACATGTCCCTGAGCGATTAAGAGCACCCCCCCCCCCCCCAAAAAAAAAATCTCGCGTTTATAGATGATATAAATATGTTACTTATCAAAGGTATTTTCAGTCTTCCGTTATGAGAATGTACTCATACCCCCATCAGGATTGGGGTTTTTCTTCCTTTTTATAAGATGTAATTCTTCGCACCGCGACCTCACATCTTTAACAAACTTATCGCTCGCAAATGAATATTCAGACCATCACACCCAACTGCAAAGCAATATCTTGTATCAAGGAAAACGAGAAACGAATATTGAAATCTTCCCTGATAATGTAATAACAATGTAACGGTATATACCGATGTCTAAAAAAGGGCATATTTTCGCCTCGAGATTTCCCTTTGTAGGTGCCCTTTTTTCTCCATAAAGTGCCCTTTTTTGTTGGAGCCCCGCCACTTTGGAAGTCGCTCCGCCGCCCCTAGAGAGAGAGAGAGAGAGAGAGAGAGAGAGAGAGAGAGAGAGAGAGAGAGAGAGAGAGAGAAAGAGGGGTTAAATATATTATATTTAAAAGCAGTGGTTAAATCAGTGAATAATTAGAGTTAGTAATGCGAAATTAGACAAACTATTTCAGTAACACAGTCGCAACATTATACAGTTTGTTGGTATATTTGTTTTTGTTTTAGCTATTCCA